ATAGCCCCCAATTGAAGAATCACCCAAATATGTTGTGATACCATTTATAATTAAGTCATATAATCTCTAAATGTTTGTAGGTTAGGTGGATTGGATAAGCCAAATTATCATTTGAGTGTTTTTTTTTAAAGACTTTCCCACAGATCATGTCACTCCCGGTTTGAAAGCTTCTGGTCTAACACAATTTTACAATCATTCTGTTCCTGAGATCAACAAACACAAGATCTTGATGACTAACTACCAATTTCACTAACATCTCTGGTGTGTAAATGCTTTGAAAGGCTTGATAAAGGTGTGTAATGATACTCAACAATTATTCAATTATTTTCAGTTCACTTATTAGTCCAATAAGATAGTAGATGATGCAATTCTACCATTGTTGCATCTTGTTTACTCACATCTTGAGGTTTACAAAAATCATGTGAAAATGTAAGAGAAAATAAGAGACTCTGAAACATCTCACTGTTACTGATTTATCATGCGGCTCAAAGTATTATGGGTAAAATCTCTCAGTCTATTCTGAAACATCAACACAGTTTCACTGATGATTTATAACCAACATTAAACCCAGGATAGAGCGGCTGAGTGAATGTGGTCTGGACTGTGTGGATGAGGCTCATTGTGTCAGAGACGCTGTAGAAGGACAGAGTTCCTGAACTGTGATCCACATACACTCCTACTCTTCTGCTGATGGACTTTACAGGGAGATCAGACTCTATGTTATTGTGTATGAATGAGTTTCTGGAGGAAGAGCAGTTCAATCTCCAGGACTGATCATTATATCCAAATCCACACTCATAACCCAATCCCTTCCTGCTGATGCTCTTATATGACACTGATATATACACACCATCTCCACTCCACTCAATCTCCCAGTAACAGCGTCCACACACACTCTCTCTACACAACACCTGATACCAATAATCAAATCTGTCTGGATGATCAGGATACGGCTGGACTCTGTCAGATAAAGTAATAACTCTGTTCCTCTCAGACAGAAGGAGTTGTCTATTCACTGTGTTCAGATCCAGAGAGAGCTGATGAGAATCTGATGGAGAGAAACACATCAGAATCAGGAATTATGAATCTGTCTGATCTTTTAATGTCTCTGAACTCTTCATGACTCAATGTTCAATGTATCATCAGTGTTTCATTACAGCTGATCAGATATCCTGTGCAAATCATCATTTAATTATTAAACTCTTTTATCATGATTTATTTCTCCTTCTACTGGAAGAACATGAACACTTTCAGTGAGTTTTTCTGCTTGTTTCTTAGTGACTTACATTGTAGGAAGTCGTTCCTGGTCTTGGGATTCATGTTGGTGAATGTGACTGTGGAAATAAACAGAAGAGAAATGACGGATCCATTTCTAATCTGATATTAGATGATGGAGAACTCATTTCTGAGAACAGATTCATCTCCAGATTCCTCATTTATAAAACACTCGAATCAGATTCAATCCTAAATTTCAATTCTACATTAAATATGTATATATTACTTCTAAACCATCAGGGGATGTTTGTGGCTGTTCTGTAGAGTTGATGCACTTGAATTAAAGATGAACTGTGATTTATAAAGTGGGATTCATTTAGGAAAATTATTTGTGCGTATGGATGTTTTATAAATCATAGGAATATTTCAGAAACTGTTGCATGTTCAGATTTGGGATCATTCTCCACACGTCTTTATAAAGGAGGAGCAGGACTTCACCTCCGTCTGAGATCTTCTTGATCTCCTCTTTCCAGAAATCCTCCAGTTTGTCTCTGAGCTGACGGACAGATTCTCTCACGCCATCAAAAGAGGAGAGAGAACCGAAGGAAACGTCGAGTTTGTCTGTAGATTCAGGAGGAGCTGAGAGAGACTGGAAACTCTACAGAAAACAGAAATCAAAACTCATCATCTCCACACTTCAGCCAATCACCTTCACTATATCAGATCTGTCGGCTCTTGTAGACTCGACTTCTGTTCAGTGACTCGCTTCAGTCCAGCACTTTCACACAATCAGAAAACTTTCTTCTCATGTTCATTATAACGTTAATCTTACAAACTCCAGTATTTGTCACTTACACTCCTTGTGAAAAAGAAAGTTCACTTTTAAAAAGAGTACCGTTCTTATAACAGATATAATATACTTTAAATATATAGACCATTTCACAAGATGTAAACAACACTGGTCCAGAAGCACTTCCTGTTTCAGTTTGTAACGGTTTTCTTTATTTCACATGTAAAGAAAACATCTTAAAGATGTTTGTTGAACTTTTTGATTCAGTTTTAAATGTTCTGTTGGTTGTATTTTATCCCAGCTTTTATGTAGTGTTAAAAAACTGAAACCGGAAGTGCTTCTGGACCAGTGTTGTTTACATCTTGTGAAATGGTCCATAAGTGCAAATATTTTCAAAAACTTGATTGCATATGAATTATAAATGCAAATATCTGAACTTTAGCGTGTTTTTGTTGCTCTGCTTAAGTTGGTCTCATTCTGCTCTCCTGAAATGTTTCTCTGTGAGTCTCTTGCTCAAGTCCACTATGATCCAGTTCTCCTAGATCTCTGTTACCTGCAGGAACTGGATGTGATCTTGTGTGTGTGAAAGCTGCTCCAGCTCAGCGTCTCTCTTCTTCAGATCATTGATCTCCTGCTCCAGTCGCTCCAGTCGTTCTTCAGCTCGACTCACTGCAGTCTTTTCCTGATCTCTGATCTGCTGTGTCGCCTCAGAGCGTCTTCTCTCAATGGAGCGGATGATCTCAGTGAAGATCTTCTCACTGTCCTCCACTGCTGTGTGTGCAGAGCGCTGTTACACACACACACACACACACACACACACACACACACAATCACACAGTGAGTTCAACGAGTCCAAACTGAGACGTGTCACACTTCTCTTCTTCTCCAGACTCACCTTATGAGACTCCACATCCTCTCTCAGCTGATGAAGATCTTTCTGTCTCTGCTGGATTCTCTGACGGATCTTCATCTGCGTCTCCTTCAGCTGTTTCTGGAGGACACACCAATAATGACATCAAACTACTACCACAAAAGAAAGTTAAAGTCACATAAATCCAGAATTGATGGAGTGGTTAAAGATCTGAAGTACACTACAGGTGTGCATTCAATACCATTAAGCACACTACTTTTTTAAACCAATGGAGTTGATTAAATTACTTTTAACTTTGTCTCCTTTTTTAGAGCTTGACACTTTTGTACTTTCAATGTTTAGGCTTAAATAGATTATGAGACATTCTTCAAAATATCTTCTTCAAACCGGATTTGGACAACATGAGTAAATGAGTGAGTAAATGAAGACAGCACTTTCATTTCTGTGATCAATCTCTCTCAGCTCATACCTGTTTCTCTGTCCTCTGCGCTGCAGTTGATTCAGTGTTGTGGTTTTTATGTTCATACTCCTTACACCACACACAGAGTAATTCTTGATCAGTGATACAGAATATTTCTAGCTCTTTATCATGTTTGCGGCAGATCATGTCCTGCAGTCGTCCAGTGGCATCAATCACTTTGTGTGGTTTACGAGAGTGATATTCCTCATGACGGTCTAAATGAGTTTGACAGTAAGACTCCTGACACACCAGACAGGACTTGACGGCTTTGTGTTTTCTTCCAGTACAGACGTCACACTCCACGTCTCCAGCTCCAGCGTAACAGTCCGCAGGAAGTTTAGTCTTCTTCAGTTTCTCCACCACTTCAGCTAGCATGGTGTTTTTCCCTAAAGCAGGTCTTGGACTGAAGGTCTGTCTGCACTGAGGGCAGCTGTAGACTCTCTTCTCATCCTCCTGATCCCAGCAGCCAGAAATACAGATCTTACAGTAACTGTGTCCGCAGAGGATAGTCACTGGATCCTTCAGGAGATCCAGACACACCGGACACACAAACTCATTCTGATCCACTGAAATTCTGGCTTCAGCCATTTTACTGCGTGAATACAGAGAGACACAAACACACAACAGCTCAACAACACTTCAGTTTCTGTTTCTCTGAACTGAGGAGTTGAAGTAGTTTCCTGATTCTGTGTGTGAGTGACGTGTGTAAAACAGGCGTGTCTGTAATGCAGCTTGCCTGCTCAACTTCATATAGAGTCATACAAAATTGTAATTACGAATTCTGAGCTCATGAATAACAGAGCAAAGTCATATTTATTAATGAGAAACTAAATTCTAGATGATACACGAGTTGGTAGGGGTGAAAATACTGATCTATGTGTTATCTATACTAGTATAGAGATCAATGAGCGATCTGTAGTAGAGAATGTTTGATGAACAAGTTCGAACAGGAGTCGCACAGAACAGAGGCAGAGCAAGGCGAGCATTTGAGCTTATTGTTTTTTTTTTTTTTAATGATCGATCATTTCACTTGATAAGACCCTTATTCATCGTCTGGAATTGTTTAAAGCCCTTTGAACAGTTTGCAGTTTGCACTGAAACTGTCTTTTTGACCTTGAACCGTTTGGTTCCCATTGAAGTCCATTATATGGAGAAAATCCTGGAATGTTTTCATCAAAAACCTTAATTTCTTTTCGACTAAAGACAGAAAGACATGGACATCTTGGATGACATGGGGGTGAGTAAATTATCAGCAAACGTTTTTTTTTTTTTTTAAAGTGAACTACTCCTTTAACTGGACAGTCCACGCTACAATAAAAAATGTCCTTGTTTATTAACTCTCATGTGGTTCTCAACCTGGATTTTATTTTGTTGAACACAGGAGAATGTTAAAGGGTCATTTACAAAGAACGTGTTTTGCCCTGATAAATGTGAGACGTGAGCAGTGGAATAAAAAAAACCCCAAAACACTTATTTTAACTTTAGTGCGATGTTTTTAGAACAGGACATAATGCCTGAAAAATGGAAAAATAACTTAAGTGGTCGAACACATGTGTCAAGCACATTTACTTAATGAGAAATATACCTTTAAAAATAACTGGGAGTTTCGATATGCAGTGATTAAGCGTAAAAAAAAAAATAATAATAATGTATTGATTTCAACACACAGTACAGTATAACGTTTATTTAACCACAAGAAACAGCCCTCATTCCTGAGAGACAGACCAGCCCAGGACAGAACGTGTGTGTAGCTAAACAACAAATGGACGAGTCAGTGACGGGGTGGTGTGTTTGCAGGCTCAGAGCCTGTCAGAGTTCAGAGTTCACCATCCAGTCTCTTGTGGACCAAGTGGTCATTTTAAAGGCATTATTTGCTTTCTTTAAATTCTTTTCATTTTTTTTTATATATAAAAAACAAACAAAACAACGAGTGACAGGTAACAACTGAAGAAGTGAAGAGCCAGGGCAGATATTCACTCCAGCACCACAGTGCCTCCTGCCGCTTCAAGTGCTGCTTTCAGTTTTTCTGCCTCGTCTTTAAACACATTGACCCGGATCTCCTGAGGTAGGGACTCCACAAGCTTCTTAGCCTGAAATTGAGAGAAAAAAAAAAAACAGTAATGAAGGACATCACATCATGACCCAAGCCCTAAATCTCATTAATGGGTTGCAGGATATAGCGAAATGCATTGCGGTCTGAAACCTTTTCACATATTAAAAAAACACACCAGAAGCCATGGATAAAAATATTGACACTAGCCAAGTTTGCATCCATTTGTTAATTGAATTATCTGAAGTTCGGTAAAAAAAAAAAAAAAACAAGCGAATAAAGCTGGTGAAAGTGTGTTTCCATCCAACAGCTTTAAAGCGAATAAAAACCTGTACGTCATGACTGTGATCAAATTGGTATATGAATCGCACAACATTCAAACAAACATTTGCGAACAAAGTTTTGCAAGACAAAATAGACATCTACCAACAATGATCAATATTGCACAAGTTGTAGCCTAATAGTGCTTATGTGCCAGCTGATAGCAACCGACGTATGTAAGGGACAATGTATTTTTGTATAATGTATTATACATTATAACGCCATTATCACTCTAACCTTGTGAAATGGTGCTCCATCAAACTGAAATATGCACTTTAGAGCCCGACCGATTAAGGATTTTGAAGGCCGATACCGACACAAATATTTGTTGATTTTAAAATCCAATATTCCGATATTTTTTTTTATTTTTTATTTCGAAAACGCGCAACAAAACATTGACAGATTTCCCTAACATTAGTTATTTGTAGTTATTTATATGATAATGCATTTTAAAAAGGAATTTGTTTCTTTTACTGTCACAACAGAACAGACTGATGATAGTGGTATTAGCTAGCTTCGTGGTTAGCTAGTCTATAATGAGCCATATTTTAGCAATGGATTACGTCATTCAGCAAATTGTAAAACATACATTTTCAATATAACAGGCCAAGGAGAGATGATGCGTCTCATTGCTATAACTGTCACGCGCTATTAAAGAAATACTTCAGTCACATTGTCAAAAGTTAAAAGGACAGTCAGTTAACTACACTGTAACAACATAACGTAACTATAACTAGCTAATTCCGCTTCACTCTCGGCTTATTTAACAGCAGCGAAACTGGACACGATAGTCACAAATTTTGTCATGCTTATTTGAGTTAAGAGAACTGATGGGGACTAGGGTTGTGCCGATAGACGATAGTATCGACGATAGTCTGACATATCGCCGATGGCAGATGCCTTTGACGATATCAATACGACAATTGTCTCGTTTTACCATAATGTATTAAATTATTATTATTAGGCCTATTATTATTATTATTATTATTATAAAGCTAGTATTGTTATTAAATGAATATTAGGAACTACAATTAATTTGCCTTGCCTAAATTTACAACGACATCACCTCATAACAATTGCAACAACACACGCACTAATGAGGACTCCTCTAAGAGAACGTTTTTAAAACAGACTAAAAAACATCCCACATCAAAATTTAATTGCAAGGTGATCCATTCACAAATTATCAAGTGTGCTCGTTTTAACAGACGCAAAATTCAATTTCCTACAGATCCAAGATGAAAACGGCATTGTTGTTCGTCAGTATTTGTTTCCGTAACACATTAACAAAACGTTTAATGACACTAACACTAAAAACAATACAATTACTAAATAGTATTAATAATAATATCACTAAAATAGTATTATAGTTACCGTTATCATCGTCGTCTCTGAGGGAACGCGGCGTTAATGCAGATGCCGAAAGCAGTCCGTTTTTACTTTCACTTTCAGAGATTGAGCGCGTTTACATGCGACGACGTTCTTAACCCGATTATGTTGAATAAACTTGACAATGCATGTGGTCATGTAAACGTTTCCTTTATCAGAGTCAAGTCATAAGTATAAGTATAAACCGATCGACTCAGCTAGACGTTTGGCCCTTGCTCTTGTTTCTCCATTTCTCCTCATTTAAAACACATTAACCCGCGTACTTCGTGCTTACTGAAGTGCGCATGTGAAGTGCATCCAGACAGAGAGCGCACTGGTAGGGGGACACATATCGCAAACTCCGACTTTTTCTGACCCAAGAAATTATTAAAACGTGTTTTCATCTCGTGCAGAAATAGGCCCTAGTCAAAATGCTGCATGTAACGGCATGAGGATAGGCTAATGTGTCCGTAAATTTCCAGTTGACAAAAGGATTAGGATCTCTTTTTTTTTTTACCTCACTATACCAGGAAATAACCTGATCCTATTAATAAACACTCCACCTTTGCTAGCAAAATAGAAAAAAGATTCTCGTATATAAAACGAAGTAGGCTAATAAAACAAGCAAATTAATGAGTAGGCTGAATAATCAAGTTAATAATAAAATAAGTTAGCCCCGCCCCCTCACGATAATATCGTGTATCGCCGATCTCACAGGCTGAAGATAGGACGATATGAAAATGGAGCATATCGCCCAACACTAATGGGGACGTTCTTTTAATTGTTATTCAAGCAATGTATGTCTCGTGACCAACTCAACGAGTGTTGCCAACATGGACAGTGCCCTCTGGTGGACAAACTATACAACTCCAACACTCATGACATGGTTGAAGCGTGTTTCGTCCATTTTTATTTTATTTTTGAAATATTCATTTATCGGCCATTGTAACTGCCAATACTGATAATTTGGAAAATGCCAAATGCCTGAAACTTGTTGGGTCATTCGTTGTCAAAAACCAACCAAATTTCTGAAACTTCCCCGGCTCAAATGTTTAACCCACGTAATTTGGCTCCAAATCTCAGGTGAAAGTTGTCATTTTGACGCCCTCCACAAACCAGTGAATTGCTCACTAAATAGGTGCACAGGTGGCAACACGATCCCAGAGTCGACTCCTGAACGGCTTGGGAATGACTCTGGGACGTCCTGAAGCCTTCTTCACTGCACTTGAACCTCTCTCTTTGAAGTTCTTGATGATCTGGTAAATGGTTCTTTCAGGTACACTATTCTTTGTAACTATTTCCTAGCATGTGAGGCTGTTTTGATGCAAAGATGATGATTGTTTACTTATTTTTTTTTTAGGTTGTAACGATTGCCAACACAAGAACACAATGAATGGACACACTTCCCTCGTTTTATAGCAATCCGTCTGCTCTTATGATCTAATCAAAATGACAGTGATATTTAGGGATCGACCGAAATTGATTTTTTAGTGCCGATACCGTTTTTTTTCCCCCATCAGCCTTAGCCGATGACCAATACGGGCTGCCGATTTTCTTGAGCCGATACATTTTCCTCCCTCAATTTACTCCATAAAAATGGCATGATGTTTTTTTATGAAATGCACTTTCTGTAAAGCTGCTTTGAAACAATATGTATTGTGAAAAGTGCTATACAAATGTTACAGGTCTCAATTTAAAGGATTAGTTCACTTTTGAAAAAACTTTTGCTGATAATTTACTCACCCCCATGTCATCCAAGATGTCCATGTCTTTCTTTCCTCAGTCGAAAATAAATTAAGGTTTTTGATGAAAACATTCCATGATTTTTCTCCATATAATGGACTTCAATGGGAACCGGATGGTTCAAGGTCCAAAAGACAGTTAATAACTGTTTCAGATGCAGCTTCAAATGTCTTTAAACGACACCAGACGATGAATAAGGGTCTTATCATGCGAAACGATCGGTTATTTCAAAACTTATTCCAAAAATGTAACTTTTATAAGTACAAATGCTAGCCTTGCTCTATTCTCTGAGGCGCGTCTGCAACGTCACGTATTACGTAATTACGTTCAAAAGGTCACGGGCGACGTAGCCGAAAGTACAGAGTCAGTGTTTACAAGTTGAACGCATAGGTTGAACGTGCAAACTAACTCAAACGCCGTTTACAAAAAAAGGAATTAAAAGGAAAAACAACGATGTCGGACGATTTTGATTCTGTACTTCCGGCTACGTCGCCCGTGACCTTTTGAACGTAATTACGTATTACGTGACGTTACAAACGCGCCTCACAGAATAGAGCAAGGCTAGCATTTGTCCTTATAAAAGTTACATTTTTGGAATAAGCTTTGAAATAACCGATCGTTTCGCATGATAAGACCCTTATTCATCGTCTGGTGTCGTTTAAAGACATTTGAAGCTGCATCTGAAACAGTTATTAACCGTCTTTTGATACTTGAACCATCCGGTACCCATTGAAGTCCATTATATGGAGAAAAATCCTGGAATGTTTTCATCAAAAACCTTAATTTCTTTTCGACTGAGGAAAGAAAGACATGGACATCTTGGATGACATGGGGGTGAGTAAATTATCAGCAAATTTTTTTCAAAAGTGAACTAATCCTTTAATAAAAGTAACATTTATTTAACTTTAAAAAAGCAATATTTAACAAATAGTAAAAACGTGAGGTAGAACAAGAACAAGTAGATAAACAATATTTTAAAAATATTAAAAACATGAGGTAGAACAAAAAAACAAAAACATTTTTTAAACATAAATAAAATAGTTAGCTACACCATTACACACAGTAGCAACCACTATAATAAAGTGCACAGTGCACATAAATGCTCCTTCATTTTAAATGTAACAAACTATTTACTGCCATGGTTTCAATTTTTCTACATAAAATAAAATGAGCGTGTCGATATTACCCATTCACACTTTCCCATGTGCTGATATGATTGGGGAAATAATGTTAGCTGGTCATTTTGTACCAGGGCCAGGAAACATTGAAATTTGGGTTTTAGCGGTGATTTATTTATTTTGGCCAATTAAGCGAAATGGATTCAATCACTAGTCTGCACAATAACCTGGAAACACTGCATCAACACTCTAACTGAAGCAGCAAACTTTGGGAAACAACATTTTTCACTGTGAATACTTTTGAGTAGACAGCAACTAACTGATGTGTGCCAAAAACACTTCGCTTTCCTGCCACAGTGGATTATAAGAAAAACATTCCCATGTCATTCATCTGTGAGTTCATGTAACAACACCTTACCTGTACAAGATTTATTCCCTCCATGCAGTTCTTCACTTCTTTAATCAGTTTGACTTTATCAGCCGCCTTTAGTTCTGTCAGTTTGACTGTAAAATGTGTTTTCTCTTTCTTTGCAGGAGCCACGTCCTCCTCTACCGCCTGCAAATTCAGTTCAAACATTAGAGGGGAAAAAAACTCACTAACAAAACTGTTACATGGCACTTTTTCCACAAAAAAGGACAAATATGATGTTAAACTCTTAAAATGGAGCACTTTTTCAACAAATGGTCAGTAAAAATGTTTTTATTTTTTCCATCAGAAACAGAGAGTGACTTTTTAAAAAAAAATAAAAACAGAATTGCACAACAAATATGGAACACAGCTTAAAACATTTTTCTGGGTATTACACTTATTATTAATGACATTTAAAATCATAAAACAGAGAAAGTCATGAGTTTAAACAACATTATGTCCAAGCTAGGTTAATTCAATGTTATATAATAGCTTTTATCAAAAAATACTGTATGTAACAGTTGATAAAACCACTGGGATGCATCTAATATATATGTTTTTTAATTGACAGGACATGGGAGTCCATCTTTACCTCTGCAGATGGTGTTGCAGCCACTGAGCCCATCGCCATCATTCCAACATCCTGAATGTTCAGCGTTTTCTGATGGGGACAAAAACACACACATCAGTGTTTTCATTTAAGAATACGATTAAAACTGGGCAATCGAGTCAATATTTACAATGACTTTTCAGGCGATTTTAAATTCTGCAACATGATGAATATATAGCGAAGAATTTTATTTACAAAAGATGATGTTTCTATTAAGACTGATTGTGCATTCCCTTCTTGTCTCGCAATTACTAAGGAGTTGAAACTTTGATTCTTTTCAGTGAATCAGTTCAAAACAGCCCATATACTTTACATTAAAAATACTTAATACAGAAATCATATACTGCTGAATATTCTGACAAGCATTTATAAACTAAATTATACTTCAATGTAATTTATATGGAAACTTTCCTGTATTTAAATATCTTTGTAATGACATTTCAATTCAGTTATACTGAACAACACTGTACAGTTAAAATTATAATCAAGTATATTACGTTTGCTTTAGTATGTTGTTCAACTTATCAAAATAAGTGCACTTCTTTGAGTTTGAAACTCTACAAAATATCATTAAAAATGAATAAAATGTACTTTAAATTAGACATTATTTACAATGTGCATTTTTAAAGGTTCAAGCATGCTAATGAACAGTCATGAAAGTGTGCTCTTTTTCATTAATATTATAATAATATCTACAAGAAGGTTTGTAAAAATATACTTTTAAGATTTGAAGTACACTACAAGTGCACATCCAGTACAATTAAGCGCACTACTTTTTGTTTCATCACTCAAAAATGTTCACAGTTAAATTTAATGTAGGCAAACATAGTGTATTGTGTGTGTGTCATATCTATGATGTAAAAATACGACTGTGTATATTAATTAAAATGATTAACTATCACTAATCCTTCTGTTCATTAAGTGGAAAACATCATTTGAACAATTTTTAACTAGATTTCTACTGTATTTCATTTCCTGCATTCACACACAGTGCGCTGTACCTTTAGTAACTCGTTGAGGTCGGACACTTCTATGAGCGTGAGGTTGGCGATGTCACTGACGAGCTGTTGGATTTTGGGCGAGTATTGCTTGGGTGCCCCGTCAAGAGGAGGCGTTGTAATGGCACCAGACGCACTGACAGGGCCGGTCTTGAGCGTTCGCAGGGCACACAGTGCTGACGTCTGTAGCTTGTGTCTGTCAAATGTGTCCATTCACAACAATCATGAGCATATAAAGCAGCAACATCATATCTTTGTGTGGCTGGAACACAGTTAACACTCCAAATAATGTCTTTACCAGTGATTGGTTTTGTTAAAGTTGATGTAAATATGATGAATTTAAAGGCTTGTACAGACTAACCAAAATGCTTCGTATTGCCTTGTCATGTGTAACTACATATTGCTCGAAATAAACAAATAAATAAATAAATAAATAATAAATTAGTATGATTTTACCATTTGACAGTTTGGGTCAGTATTATTTTCTAAAGAAAGATTATGGTTTCCACAAAAATATTGCACAACACAACCATTTTCAACATTGCTAATAATCATCGAGCCTCAAATCATCATATTAGAGTGATTTCTGAAGGATCATGTGACACTGAAGACTGGAGTAATGATGCTCTGATCACAGGAATAAATTACATTTCACAACATGTTAAAGAATAAAACAATTATTTTAAAATTGTAAAAATAATAATTTACAATATTCCTGTTTTGACTGTATTGCTGACCAAACAATTGCAGCCTTGGTGCACAAAAAATACTGTAAATAAATATTGTAATATGGTATATTATATACATTTTTGATTGTACTATAATGGAGACACAATTTTGGCTTTCACCATTTCTTTTATGATTCAGAAACTATTGTATAATTGAAACTCAACATTTGTTTTCAATGAATTGCATTATAAACATGCAGTGGGATCCAAAAGTCTGGGACAACTAGTGCAAATGCTGAGTGTTTTTGCATTTTTCACTACATTTATTACCAATGAGCATAGCAATTTGAGTCAACAGCTGCATAAACCTTATGATCATGTTCACGGGCATCAATGAAAGAAAGTGTTGCATCAAAGCCTCAGTCAGACTCAGACATGTAACTATTATGCTAGTGTACCCACTGCTGACCTTTAGTACAGAGCAGTTCCCACGGTCAATGTCACATACATTTACTTACATTTGACTAGAGACACAGTAACAGAAAATATTAAACCCGTATCAATTTTACAGCACAACTCTTTTAACTCAATTCAAAATATCTTCGGCCTATAAATGAATAGACAAAGCCCAGATTTGCATGCTCTGCTCTCTATACACATCGGTTGAATGACCACTGCTAGTCGTGCATAAGACGAACTTAACGTACACACTAGTGATCATTAGCAGAAGTCACGTGACCTTATACGTTGCGGTCATTCTTGATTAGTTATTAGATGCAAGATCAAAGCGGTGCATGAATTAAACTACACTCCCTCACTTCTGACGGTCAGCGATATAGCAACTACATCTGATCTGACGCAGAATAATACAGATGCACATCACACAGTTACGATCTTAATACGATCTGTGCGTGTTTTATTAGTGATGCTTGTAGTGTGTGTGAGTCCTCTGCCCTTGAGAGGCGCAGGGGGGATAGTTTAGTCTCCGTCTCTTACCGGTGTGTGTTTGCCGCGGCCCGCAGCGCGATCCGGACGCAGTGTCTGCTGCAATACATTATGGCCCGATTCCGTGAGCGACCGAGCAGTGTGTGTGTGAGTGTGTGTGTGTGACTGAGACTGCTGTCGGTCCTCCTCTAACACAAGCACATGGCGTCCTCCACCGGCGCTTCCTGACCTACCCACAATGCATTGCGAATTTGCGACGGATGGACAAACTTTATTTAAAAATACTCCTGTGACAAAACCTTTTCCATAAAGGATAGTTCAGCCAAAAATGAACATTATATCATCATTTACTCACATTTAAGTTGTTCTAGACGTTTCTTTGTTTTGTTGAACAAAAGATATGTTGAAGAATGTTGGTTATCCAGACTGTTTTGGTCCACTTTGACTCCCATAGTAGGCATATATATTTTTTTCATACTATGGAAGTCAATGAAGACCAGCAATTGTTTGGTAACTGGCATTTTTCAAAATAAGAAGCATACAGGTTGACATAATTTTCGTTTTGGGGTGAATTATCCCTTTAATTAGCCTGTATGACTTTACAATATGACTTTATTAGAATCTGTAAACAATGGGCAAGAAATATTTCATAAATACATCTTAACTGAGATTACAAAAAGTAGGCTAGATAAAGGTTTCTAAAACAAATCCTAGAAATATCCTATTTAGCTACGGCACTGACATAAAATAACTTTATTAAATTATAGTATATTATATTAATATTAACTTTATGGATCATGGGCCTTTTTAGAGAAACGGCTTCTCTTTTCTCTAGAGAAGACATCACTTTATATTATCCAAATTTTTAATTAAAATATTTTAAAACATTTAAGATGCTAAATTACATAATAAACAATGTATGAATATGATTGATTTGATTAATTGAAAGTTAGCATATAGAGGCCATATATTGACAATTTCATCCACCAGATATAATCACCCTGAAAATGAGGAGAAATGTTAAAAATTACCCTGCCCCTTTAAAATAAATAGCTACATGAAATATATATATTTTAATTAAATATATAGTATTAAAACAAAAAATCAGAAGTGTTCTGCACTATACTATGTGCTCCCTAAAAATATGATAGAGACTCAAATCCTTCCCATTATAAACTGATATAAAAAGTGGAACTTTTAATGATCTCCGTCATTACATTTGGACTAAGTTATTCGTTTAATGTTTTAAAGTGCTCTATATATATCAGTTTTTGTTTCAATGAGCTCAGCCATCTTGATGTGACCAAAATGGCCACCATGTAGGCTACATTTAAATAGCCTAAATAGGCTATAAAATATTAATAATAAAAACTAAAAACAAATAGAAAAACAAAGAATCAACTGATGTTGGAATCTGATATAGCTAAACAAAAATGTCATGCAATTTAAAGGTCAGCTTTAAAATGTTATTTGCATCCTCAGTTTATTTCTTTGTCATAACTGTATAAATGTTGAGGTGTTTGGTTATACAGATCTTAAAGGGGAGGAGCAGACAGAAGCTTCTTACCCGTGTAATCTTCTCCTGATCAATCTGTCCATCACTGAGCTCTTCTTCCACCGCACCGACTGTACTACAACACCGCGTGAGTATCAACAACAGATCTCTCATTCTGCTCCTAAAATTAGCAGCTGTTAGTCTTCTAAGTTTTCTAACCCCAAAAAACGACTTAATCTAAAGTGACCAACCATTTTTCAATTAATGGAAATGAGCCTCTATTTCTTGGCATGTCATGTGGAGGGGTGTAGATGTGTCAACAAAAGACAGATAACAAATATCAAAGTGCGTAACTTGTCAAAATGCATCAGTGAATTATAAAACGTTTTGTTTATTCACGCATATGCAAATATGTATTAGAAAACTAGGTGTTCCCATTTAGAGTAATTCACCTATCATTATTATTTTATGGCATAATGTGTCAAATAAAATACAGGCTACAAAACAAAAACAAAAATAGCACATTCAAGCACTGACACCAGCTGTAATTTTTCACATATGATAAATCGAGATTAAATGTTATAATGCTATATCATTATTATTCTCCATTACTTTTAAGTCAGCATGAAATGGAAATGGCTATAGTCTTTTCTTCCCTATGTGACGTGTGAGTGAAACGGCTTCTCGGACAAGAACAAATGGGACAGGCTTGATTTTGTCAATGGGGAATTGATTGGATGGTTGTGGTTTCCTATTGGCTGATCTCATGCGAGTTACAGGTTGCCCCGCCCTCACGCTAGTAAACAAGTAAACACATTATCAGAGAAGGGGAAGTTGTTTTGATTTAAAGGGTTAGTTCACCCAAGTCATTAATTACTCACCCCCATGCTGTACCAACCCCGTAAGACCTTCGTTCATCTTCGAAACACAAATAAAGATATTTTTGATTAAATTTGAGAGCTGTATAACTACCACATTGGCTGCCTAAGAGACTGGCTCTTGACGGCCCAAAAAGTCAATGAAGAAAATGTTTAAATATTCCATGTGACTACAGCGGCTCAACTATAAGTTTATCAAGCGACGAGAATACTTTTTGTGTGAAAAAACAAACAAAAATAACGACTTTATTCGACTATTCCTTTTCTTCCTTGTTGGCCTGAAACGAGACTTCCTTAGATTTCCACGACGCATGCGCGAGAACTGAACTAAAGTAGTTGAAGGAGATCGCAATTCTCGCGCATGCGTCGTGGAAATCGTATTGAAGTCTCGTAGTCGAATTAAGTCGTTATTTTTGTTTGTTTTTTCGCACAAAAAGTATTTGCGTCGCTTGATAAACATATAGTTGAGCCACGGTAGTCACTTGGGATATTTAAACATTTTCTTCATTGACTTTCTGGGCCGTCAAGAGGCAGTCCCTTAGGAGCCTATGTGGTAGTTATACAGCTCTCAAATTTAATCAAAAATATCTTCATTTGTGTTCCGAAGACGAACGAAGGTCTTACGGGGTTGGTACAGCATGGGGGTGAGTAATTAATGACTTAATTTTCATTTTTGGGTGAACTAACCCTTTAAGATGAGTACACTTGAAAAAAAAATGTGGACAGGTAAATAATTTATAATAAAAATAAACAAATAAATAATACTCCATTTTGATTTCATTTAAAAATGAAAGCCTTACCTGAGTGCCAACCATCTCTTTGCGCCTTTATGGTGATTTTGCCAACTGGTCTGTATTTACCAGCTTGTGGCGATGGCTTTGATCAACCACTTAAAATGTTCAACATTCGGCATATTCCTTTCTGTTGCAGATCATGCTGCTCTCGCCGGCGGCCGAGCGGAGTCAGGACGGCTTGCTGTCGGTCCTGTGCGAGATTCTGGAGAATCAGTCTCACCGTGAGCTGTTTGGCCTTGAGTTTGGATCCGGCACGGGCCAGCATGTGGTGCGCTTCGCTCAAGAAATGCCCTTTGTCACATGGCAGCCGTCAGACATCAAGGAGGAATCCCGAAACAGGTGCACAGACTGATGTCTTTACTATTATACATCTCTTAACTCCACTCTTAAAAATAAAGGTTCCTTAATTAGCATTTATGGTTCCATGAAAAGCATCCATGAATTTTTCCATTCCACAAAAGGTTCTTTATAGTGGAAAAAGGTTCTTTAGATTTTTAAAGTTCCCCTGAAGTCAATAATTTCATCCCTTTAAACTCATCATCAAAATGAAAAAAATTCTTAATGCCTTAAAATATCTTGAATGTAACTTTAGTTTAGACCCTTGCCTCGTTTAGTATACGCGGTTATTTGAATATGCAAATGAGCCCCGCCTCCACTCACTCACTCCAGCTCAGAGATCCACTGGTTGATGATCACATGTTGATCTGATTGGTTACAAGGTAGTTTGTGTCAGAAACACCAGCAATTTCAAACCGTGTTTTTGAGACTGGTTCACTGCAGTTTTAAGGAGGAAATACTCAGCAATGCTGTCGACTTATATATTTACACACGGTTTTACACACATATAGACCCACATAGTAACATTAAAAGCTGGATTTTCACCACAGGGGGACTTTAAAATATTCTTCACACTTGTTTGAATGTTTTTTGAGGGACCAAAAATGTTTTTCTATCTGACACCACTGTGAAAATCCAGTTTTGGAGCCTTTATTTTCAAGTGTGTCTTATGGAATGATGTGTGTTTTGAGCGTAACGTTACTCTGCTGCAGTATCAGAGCTTACATTGGGGCCACTAAGGTAAAGACGGCACTGGAGCCGGTGCATCTGGACGCCAGTGAACCCTGGGAGAAATGGGCAGGACTGCCACAAAGCTCCTGTGACATTATCATAGCGATCAACCTGCTCCAGTACAGCCCCTTCAGCACTGCACAGGTATGACACACACATATACTGATCTCTGCGTATACACAGGTTTACATGTGAAAACACAGAGGATGAATTTCCCCTAAACAGGGTCTTGAAACTCTGGACAGTCCTGCAGCCTTCTTCATCATGATTGCACTAATCAAATATCCTACAAAACGGGAATAATACGTACTATATTAAAGTAAATTTCAGAAGTTTGGGGTTGATATGTTGTTTTAAGAATATTTCTGAAAGAAGTCTCTTATGTTCACCAAGGCTGCATTTATTTGATCAAAAATACAATTTTACAAATGTAAACTTGATTTTGTCAATGGGGAATTGAATGGATGGTTGTGGTTTGCTATTGGCTGATCTCATGTGAGTGACAGGTTGCCCCGCCCACACGCCAGCAAACACATCATCAGAGAAGAGGTGTTGCTTTTGTCTGTCACCGTCCCACAGGTGGGACGTTTGCCACTATATTTTTAAAACAATAATATCTTAGTAAATACCTTAAATAATATTGACAAACTATATATCATTTGAAAGCTTACAATCTCTAGTTTCTATATTTGGTGACTGATTTTCAAAATATATTACAGAGGAGCCATAATTTATCAATATAAAACAAGAATATTTTCATACTCATAAGGCGTGTTCAGACCTTTATTTTAAAATAGCAGTAAACATGAAAAATCATGAAAAAATGGTAGAAACCTCAGTTTGTTTTCATGGCAAAAGTTCAAAAGATAGAATCCATTCAATTATTTTGGAAAAAAAGGTCTGAAAAGTTTGAAATATCAAGAAAAAAAATGACTTACATGCGTCTTCTTTTTGTATGTGTTTCTTAGAGGTTCAATTCATATCAAAATCTGCCAAACTTCCCATGCTACTTCTGAATAGGATCTCTACTTCAGAAATTGTATGAAAATTGTGAAAATAATGGTTCATATCACTCAAAACACGAATGGAAATGCAGGCGCCCTTATATGGGCAGTAATGGAGTCAGATTGTGCCCTAGTGAAAAAGTTTGGTACTGCGCTCAAACAAAATCTTACTGAAAGCTCATTTTTTGAGATATCAACCTAAAATTTGAAACACAACTTGTTCAGATTTTTGGCTTTGATCTTTCTCCCGTTTTAGAGTAGCCCAGGTTTTGAAAATATATATTTTATGTAAAATATGAATAATTAATATTTTTACATTGTACATTTCCATAAACTCAAACTTCTATAACTTTTTTTCTGTTTCACTTTCTTAATTTATTTCACTTCTACAAAAATCTGCCAAATGTCTTCTTTAAAACAAGACCAATCATATGTCTATATTCCAAAGCATTCTTGAATTACAACCATTTAAGTTCGAAATGTGCATTTTCATGTCTATTCAAAAAAGAGGGGGGGTGACAGTTAACAGGTTAAAGATTACAAGGCTCATTCGTTTAAAAAAAAAAAATAAAGATGTGCATAAATAAATCGGTCATACATACTGAAATATTCCATAAAAAACAAGAACTGTCAAATTTGATTTCATGGTGACATTAATGTAATCCACAGGGTGTGTTTAAAGGATCTGGGCATATACTAAAACAGAACGGCCTTCTAATGACTTACGGAGTGAGTTAATCTCATTTTCTACATGTTGTCTAATATATTTTTAATTAACAACTTAGTTATAATCGCTTTTAATGCAAAATCTCAGTAACCGTGTGGATTTAATGTCTCTCAGCCGTACGCGATCAATGGCACCATCACTCCCGTCTGCAATGAACACCTGGACCAGACGTTACGCCAGATGTGGGTTTCCACAATCTTATTTCAAGATTCAATATACTGGTAGCCTTTTTGTTGAGGTATTGGATGAAATATGCAGAGCAGACGGTGTTTCAGGTGCACTGCTTAACCCTGTCATTAGGAATCCGGAGTGGGGTCTTCCCGACATCGATGTGCTCCGACAGCTGGCCTTCAGTAACGGGATGAGGATGGAACGGATGGTGAGGGACGCTCAATCACATGATGCTTTTTAATGTGTTCCTTTACGTTTAGTGTGTCATGTGTATGTTCATACATGTATAAGATCTGCACAGTGACAAAGCTCAGTTGACAGGTTTCATGCGATTCTTATTCTTATTGAAAAAGCCTTAAAGGAGAACTCCGGCGAATAATGAACCTTTGGTCTAATAAAACATTGGTATCTAGTCGACCGTTCTCTGAGATTTGTTTTCATAATAATCGAATATAAAGAGTTTTATCTCTAAAAACTGTTTAGCGTATAATGCTAGTAATGGGGGCATTGACTAAGTAAAAAGAAATCGCTAGTTTATAACCACTAACAAGGCTCAAAATAGCCCCACACTAAGGCCTGTTCACACCGGGACGAATTTCGCGCGCGTTATTCGTTGACGTTTAACGCCTCGTGACTAAACAATGGGCGCCAATGTGGTCACACCGACGTGAAAAACGCCACGCGTCAAAGCGTCATTTTTAAAAAAACGCCTCGGGTTCGGTTTTTTGGTTTGACACGCCGCGTCAAAACCTATCCGACCAACGAGATCGGCGGGTTTGCTCACGTGTCTGCTACTTCTGAAGTTACAGTAAAACACAACTTGAGGGCGCGCGAACACAAAACGGTCTTGCCGAGCACACATACGGCGAAGAAGAGATAAGATACCTATGGGCAAGATGAATGTTGTTGAGCTGCTGGTCTCCCAGACAGCAAACTGACATTGAATCAACGTGGAAACGACGTCTCTCATGACATTGAAACAACGTTGATTTTGCTCATCGAATTAACGTTGAACCAACGTCAGACGCGGCATTCTTCAAAGCTAAATGAAAATCGAAAATTGGTTTGCTTTCATAACGTTGAAACAACGCGTTGATTTCAAGTTGATTTTCCGTTAGTTTTGAAAGAATGACCCGTCTGACGTTGGTTCAGCGTTAATTCGATGAGCAAAACAATGCCAGATCAACGTTGTTTCGATGTCATATTTCCACGTTGATTCAATGTCAGTTTGCTATCTGGGCTCGTAGCACAAAGAGCTATAAGAAAATATTTATATTAGTATTTCTGTAATAATAGTATAGTATAGGGTGACCAACAGTCCTGTTTTCCCGGGACATGTGTAAAACGGTCACTTTGTGCTTTATAGAAATCTGAGTTGAGATGAGAACTGCGCATAGTGTGTGTAGTGTCAGTTAGATTTTGACAAGTGAGGAGAGGAGAACCGCTCTGCCGACTCTTTGTATTCTTTCTTTTATTTTATTTTTCTATTGTGACCAGATGTTTGTTTGTTTGTTTTCTCTCGCTCGATCCCCGTGCATGAGGAGGACGAGTGTGACGTTTGAGTGGTTTTATTAAACGCGGGGAAATACGACAACTCTCGTCTCTCGTGCATCTGTTCATCCGACAACTGCTATGTTTTTATCTCTGGGCAACATCTCAACTTTGCGTTACACATGTCCTGTTTCCACGTCCTGTCCTGACTGTTTTTAAGTGATGAAAATGTCCTGGTTTTCAAACAAAAACTGCTGGGAAAGATCGGTCCTACAGCAAAATATAGATGGGCAAACAAGGTGGACGAGGAAGAAAAACAAGATAAAGAGAATGAAAACTAAAGATATAAATAGATTTTGTTAGTTCGTTTTTGTAAGTTTTTGAGAGCTATTTTTTGTTACATTTGGAGGCATTTCTTTTAGTTATTTATTATTTAGGCCTATATATTTTTCTAATACAGAAGACATTATTTCTATCATTATTTCATTCGGTTTTTTTCTATCTGTCATAATAAAACATTGAGACATGAATATGATCACCCTAGTATAGTATTCTATTATTATTTCTGTTTTACATTAAGCGCCATCTAATGTCAGGGAATGAATTTGCATGTTCATTCGGCTTATCGTCAGCGAAAAACGCTTGGGTGTGAACACAAAAAACGCGCTGAAAAACGCTGACGAATAACGCGCGCTGATATTCGTCCCGGTGTGTACGGGCCTTTACGCAGTAACATAATGAGGCTCCATACATACAAAACAAAGCATTGAGAACTTTGTAAGTGTACAGACCGTTTAATAAGAAGATACTTTATCAAGACAGTTCACTTCGTGTATACAGACAGGAGCCATCTTAAAAAATAGTCTCGATAAGTCGATCCCCGAACGCCGTTCATACAGTTCAGAAGTTCGTTAAACTTCATAGAGTTCAGATCACTCAGCACAACGTTCGTGGTTTGACTTATCGAGACTATTTTTTAAGATGGCTCCTGCCTGTATACGCGAAGTGAACTGTCTTCATAAAATATCTTCTTATTAAACGGTCTGTACACTTAAAAAGTTCTCAATGCTTCGTTTGGCATGTATGCACCCTCATTATGTTACTGCGTTAGTGTGGGGCTATTTTGAGCCTTGTTAGTGGTATAAACTAGCAATTTCTTTTTACTTAGTCAATGCCCCCATTACTAGCATTATACGCTAAACAGTTTTTAGAGATAAAACTCTTTACATTCGATTATCATGAAAACAAAACTCAGAGAATGGTTGACTATGTACCGATGTTTTATTAGACCAAAGGTTCATTGTTCGCCGGAGTTCTCCTTTAAGACAGAATTTAATAACCTGTAATTTGCTTGATTATTCAACAGATTGAGATGCCTGAGAGCAACAAATGCCTTGTCTTCAGAAGACTGTAGTAAATCGGATGACAAAACGGATCCGGTTTCCAGGATAAAAGTTCAGTTTCACATTCGGTCACTACTGTAAAACACACAAACCGCACGGATTTACATTGTTTTATTGTGCACATACAAGAAAAGAAACATTTCCACTAACGTATGGCCAATAAAAGAACGAGATATTTATTAAATATGATTTTAAAATGACTTTTTTTTTAAGATGAAGCAGATCAGTATGGAACAAAGGTGATATCAAAGGGGTTACAGAAGTCACCGGTTGTGTGTGTGTGTTACAAACATGCACCGTTCAAATCATCCAAAAGCTGTCCATCTCTCCTCAATCCATCCACAACCACAGTCTGTTAAAAATAGACTTTGTCTGCCATTGAATTGATGCTCAATCCTACACTGTGATTAATTGGTAATGAAACTACGGCTTTTGAGATGAATGATTCGTCTGGTTCTGAACCCCTGGCTGATCCACATCGAGCAAAGATGTCTGGCAAACTTACATGCAGCACTTGGAAACACCAGCCTGTTTATCTGGATCTATTCCATTGGTGATATGCAAATGGCAGTAAAGCTGACATCTCATTGGCTGTTCATTATATGACAGAAGCCAAAGTGCGCGGCATCTACCGTATAAATCATAAGCGAGGATTCCACAACACTGATCCTAAACTCAGAGCTTCTGAAATATTTCTAGAACTGCAGACGATGGTCACGTGATCTGGAAAACGGTGTGTGACGCCTCAGTGACCTCTGCTAAAGCCAGCAAGTCTCGTATTCGAATAAAACAAATGGCTGTTACATATTCACTCATGCAAACACATTTTAAGAAAATATGAGACAAAGGATGGTTATGTCGTCTTTTTAAATCATATCGTGTTTCTCTCTCTATAGTACAAATGACTAACTTCGCGTAAGCTCGGTTTTATTAGGAAAAACTACATTTGAAAAAAAATCTAGAGAGAGGAAAGATAGAAGTAGGGTGAATCTCACAAACATGTCAAGGTCACGTTTTAATGGAAGCTCATTTCCGCTACATACTTTGGTAAATCATAATTATGACACTACAAATGATGAGATACAATTTTGATGTAAAAAGTCAAATTAACTTTTTAACATCATAATTTCAACTTGATTATGATTCAAAATAAACAACTTTTAAATGTGATCGAGAAATAGTAATAATTATGATAAAAAGTCTCAATTGATGTAAAAAGATCGTCACAATTTTAACTTTTTAGCAACTTTTTAACCCAATTATTACTTGAAATTTGATGAGATATTGATAAATTGAGATATTTACAATATGTAGTCTCGTAATTTCAACATTAAACATTACATTTTTTAATTTTAATCTCATAATTAATCTCAAATCTCATCTTTAATCTCAAAAGCATGAGCATCTTATGTGGTGGAAATGGGCTTCCATAAACAATAAAGAATTTTTTTTTTTTTTAATTTATTTAGGACCATTAAGAATTGTATGCATTATTTTCATGACATTAAATACATTTCCCCCCAAAATTATTATCAATGTGTCAAGATGAGTTTTTGTAATTCCCATAATTGTCAATAGTGAGTCTTATTACAGTCTCTTTTAAAAACTGAAATCAGTATAAAGGCAGAATAATAAATATTACAATTGTGTATAACTACTTTACACAAATTTTGTGCATTACAACAATAAGAATGGGGTGAGAAGACAAGTTTAATTGTGGTAACTAATGTCATAATACCCCAAAAGGGCTTGGTTTTCTTTATGGGATGGGTTTGTTTGTTTTGGGGGTAAAATGTGACCCAGACATTGGGTTTTGTGAGATTCATCCAGCTGAGAGACAAAGGTTCCCCACCAGCTCCATCTGTAGCCTCTCCTCCTTCGTTTAAAGAGACAGGGAAGGGAGAGGGACTCAGACGGCCAGATGCTTTTACTTGTATTTGTACACCTTCAACACTTGTGGAGTGAGAGCAGGTGAGGATAATGACCCCAGAACCGGCAGGGTGCGGGAGGGTTGGATGTAGTGTGCTGGACCTGGCGGGTGAAGGCATATGATGAGCGATCAGTCGAATGAAATGAGCTGAGCCTCTGCACTGCCCGGAGGAGCCTGCGGGTGCTGCTGCTGTTGGGATTGCTGCTGCGGACCACCAGGGGGAGCCATCTGTTCAAAAATATCAACAAACAGTTGACAGTGTAAACATACTGTGTCTACTGCACATTTTTGGTAAATGTGATCACAAGTCCACAAGACGGTACAGAAATTTTAAAAATGTGACGATACTAGCATTTTGAGCGTTGTTAAACTGATTCTTAAACACCTCTGGTTGGCCATTGTGTTCACTCGCTCAACATATAGGTCTACAATAATTGGCTATGGCCAATTAGAGACCAATATGTTGAGCTTGTGAACGCACAAGCCAATCAGAGACATGCATGCTGAGCACGAGAATGCAATGGCCAATCAGACGCATGCATGTTGAGCGCGTGAATGCAATGGCCAATCAGAGACATGCATGCTGAGCATGTGAATGCAATGGCCAATCACAGACATATTGAGTGTGTAAACGCAATGATAAACCAGGTGTTTAAGAATCCATTCAACAGCGCTCAAAATGCTAGACATTTTTTAAATTTCAATACTGACTTGGTACCGAAGTCGGTAGTTTTGACAACATTACCATAAGTTATAATATGTCTAAGATGTGTAAAAAATACACTCAAAATGGTAAGAGTAGTATGCGAGTATGCTATTCCACACAATGAAATGCCATAAACCATAACGCCTCTGACCTGCTGGTACATGGGCTGCTGCCCAGGCATGTAGGATTGTTGGGGAGGCATGTTGGGGTCTTGTCCTGGAAGAGCGCTCATCATATTCTGCAACAGAAATCAAACTTTACATCCTGTATGGTTTTTGGAAAGGACATCAGATCTGAGAAGTCCAGGTTTAATGCAAGCCACAAATGTGCTCTGATGTAGTAAAGCTTACCTGCATGTTGTATGGCTGGTGGTAGCCCATGTAGGCAACACCATTGGTGGGGGGAGCCTGGGACATAGGGGGCAAACTCTGAGCTTGGGAAACCACGTTCTAGAGAAACAACATGTAAACATTAAGAACCAACATTCAACCTTTATGCTACACAAAGCGAGTACGTTACAAATAGTGTTTGGTAAAGTTTTGTTCACACATCAACTAAGCAACAGAATAAAAGAATAATTATTGACATTTGAGAATCCATATCAGTTCATTGAAGTGAGAATCGAATAAAATCTGCCCGAGTACTTGTAAAGCAGTAAAAGAACAAGATAGTTTTAGGTAAATGTAAGGCTTTGATTGTGAGCGTGATGTCCTGACCTGGTAGCCCTGCGTGGGTGTTGGCTGGTAGTTAGTGTAGGCAGGGGTGGTTGTGGGAGGGGCTTGTCCAGGGGCGACTGGCTGCCCGCTGGTGCCTGCAGGCTGATACATGTAAGCCATGTTGGGATCTAAAAAAACAATGGACAGAGAATCTATTAATGAATAATAAATAAAAAAGTAGCATATTAGAAGCTGATCTAGTTAAATCGTTAACAAAAGGTAGAGGATGTTTGGGTGACCTGCGGGCATGGCCTGGTACGGGCCACCAGCAGACGTCTGTCCGGGCTGGTTCATGTAGACTCCATGCATGGGCGACCCTTCCACTGAACCAGCAGGACTGAACGTGCCTGGGTAACTGGGAGGGCCAGCGGGGGGGTACACCACCCCTCCGGCCACGTTAGGAGGCAGCGACTGCATCTGCAAACAGAACATTACAAACAAGGCTGCAACAACTAATCCATCAAATCAGTGAGAATGACAACAATCAGAATCTCATTATCAATTAATTGCGTCTGTACATTTTAAAGCTACACTGTGTACCTCTTTTAGTTTATTCTTAGATAAAAACACTTAGTTCTTACAAAAATATATGTGCTCATTAATGTATATTTACTCCGTTAAAGTAATAAAGTATTCTCGTGAGTGTATGATATGCCATTGAAAATACATACGGGTAAGGGGTTCTATTGTCGGTCGCCATGTTTCCCCTCCATCTTGAAAGTACATTAGCCAAAGAGGGACATACCCGTTAATTCAAGCTTCGCCTTTAGCGTTTACATCTGAGTTAACACTCATGGACGAGGTCGAACTGGAAGCCATGTTAATCTTGGACTACTTTGGCCACCGTAGGAGTTAAAACAAAATCGGAATCGAGAGGAACAGAAACTAATATTTACTGGATGGTCATATACCTTTTCACCGCTAGATGGGGGTAAAAATCACACAGTGTAGCTTTAAGTCCAGTGATTATTTCCATTTTGCACATTTTGAAGATAAGGATTGATCGTGTATTGACCCATTATTTACATTAAGCTATGCATGAGGGGGGAAAAAGTATACCTTTAAAATGACAAGCAATCAGTTTTTTGATAGATACATGAAATATAGTTGTTTTAATTGCCATTTTCACATTGATTGGGCAGGTTGTGGAATAACATTTTTTTTTTGTAAATAATGGATTAAGTTTGGGATTTTTCATCCAATCAATTCAAGAAATAAACAACAGATTTATAGTTTATTAAAAATATAAAAATGTAAAAAAAAAAACTTGGTTTGTAAGAGGCGTTAGACTAGTTTCATGGTGCATTTTGTCATGTAACTTTTATATGAATATAAAACTGAGATTTTAAAGACTGAGATGTTTCGACTTTGTCTCTGATTTAAACTTTAATGGTTAAATGGTTTAATGGTAAAATCATTTAAAGTTATTATTTAACTTTTTATAAGACATTTAAAAATATATCTATTAATAGATATATTAAATAGTCGAAAATATATTGATTTTAATATCGGCCAAGCAACTCAACTCTTTCAGATTACTACAAAGATATACAAATGATGTATTTACTTGTTAACCCCTATTATTCATCATGACTGATGACTGCCTCTGCACACTACGGCAGGCTGACGGTGTCAAAAGTGTGTCAGTAGCAGTGCGCACCTGTGAGTAAGGCAGAGAGAAGGCAGGCATCTGTGCTCTCATCTGAATGGTGTGTTTCTGCTGCTCCAGGCGCATCTGTCTCTCCTTCTCCTGCTCCTGCAGACGCTGAATCGCCAGCTGCCTTTGCATCTCCAGATACTCCTGCAGCAACCAATCACGGTCAGTTTCCCGCCCTCGTCACGTGATTCAACGGTAAGCAGAAAAGCAACTTGCCTGTTTCTTCTGCCTCATGATCTCCAGTTTCTGGGCGAGTTGGATTTGTCTTTGTCTCTCAGCCTCCTCGGCGGCCCGTCGCAGCTTCTCCCGGTGCTCCTCTCTCAGAGCGTTCAGTGCCGCCCGCGCGTCACGCACCTGCGCCAGCTTGTCCTGAAGACCCTCATAGTACACTGACGGAGAGAGAGAACACAACATTCAGCATCTCAAGACTCGAAGAAACAATAATACACCAGTAACTACTAGAGCCAGACCGATATATCGGCAGACCGATATATCGGCAGGCCGATATTATCGGCCGATATTAGGCATTTTCCAAACTATCGGTATCGGCAGTTAT